AAGCAAAAGTAAGATATTCATCCCACCAATATCAGGCTAGGAACTTTTAAGCTGAAACTGAAAGACCGAACCGAACCGAGCTAAACCGAACAAAATTTTTGGTTTTTTGGTGTCGGCTTCGGTTTTTGAATCCCAGAAGTTTAGTGCCCAGTGTCAGCGAGGAATCGAGAAACATAGGGATATACATAAACCAGCCCCTTGTGGTCCTAGCAAAGCTCGAAAAAAACGTTGAGCCCACCTAGGCAACCACTCCATCCAACCCCCACGACCTTACCCGGCCATCACAGCATGTCAGCAAGACAACAACTACTCCTTTCCAAACCTTATCCCTATCTCCCTGCACCCTATGGTGGTGCGCGGTTGCCGTGAGTGCGCGGTCCGCGGGGGCGAGACTCGGCTTTCGAGCGGGCGAGGCTGCTAGGGCGGCGTAACTGCTGGCTGGCGAGCGAGCAAGGCCGCAGCCTTCGCGGGATGGCGCGGTAGCTGCTGGGCAGGGGTGGGGATGGGGGACGGCGCGGTGGGCGCTGGGCGACCGAGCGTCGCCAGTCACTGAGGGGGTGAGCGGCAGGCGGTGAGCATGTGCGAGCTATGCTGAGTGGAGCGAGTGCCAAGCGGCAGCACGTCCACGGCCAGGAGGCGGCAACAAGGCGCATCTGGGTGCATATAGCATGAGGGATGACGAGCGAGGCATGCTTCGGTTTTTCCAGTCTTAAATCGAAAACCGAAGTAAGAACCTGACACCGAACTCGTCGGTTTTGTGTTGTTTAATCTGGGTGCAGATAGCATGAGGGATGACTAAATGTTCTCAATTCATGGAAATCGAAGTTTTGGAAACCGGATACTGAACCGACGTTTCAGTTTAATTGCCAAGTCCTACACCAATAATTGTGCATTACTGTACCTACTCTTCTCCGCACATTATTAGGCCGTGCATCACCATCGTGCATTCGTGCCCCTTTGTGCATCATTCTACCTGCTCTTGACACATTATTAATAATAATAAAATCATAACTTTCACTCACAAGCAGGGGATAGTGATATGTATAGTTCCTTATTCTTAATGTTGCGGTCTATTGGTCATCCATACTCCCTAATTGATGTATCGACTTGGATCCACCGGCCGGCAATAGTCATCAGTTCAAATGATTGACAAAGTGGCACTAGTAGAGAACAGATCTTTCATCTGAGGTTAAAATGGGCTCTAGTCCCGGCATTTTTTGCGTCCGAGACTAGAGAGACCTTTAGTCCCGGTTGGTGTCTCCAACCGGGACTAAAGGTCCCTGACCAACGGCTACTGCGCTCGACACAGTGACAGGGGACCTTTACTCCCGGTTGGAGCCACCAACCTTGACTAAAAGTCCTCCAACCTTTAGTCCCGGTTGGTACCAACCGGGACTAAAGGGTGACCTTTTAGTCCGGGTTGATATTACGAACCGGGACTAAAGGTCTCCCACCCGGGACTAAAGGTCCCTCACGGGTCAATTTAAAAGTAGGAGCGGGGAGGACTATGTCACATGTGGTGTGCAGTTAAGTTGGCAAGGAATCTACGCGTGATGAGAGAGGTTTTGTGTTCGAATCCCACACAGCGCAAGCGAGGTCTCAAGGAATTCGTTTATTTTTTTAACTGAGGAGGGGGCTTTACTCCCGGTTACTGACCCGGGACTAAAGGGTGGGAAGACCCTTTAGTCCCGGATTCTTACTTCCGGTTGGGAAACCGGGATTAAAAGGGGATCCCAACCAGGAGTAGAAGCCTTCTCTCCATCAGTGTGGTAAACGTATAAAAAGGGTTAATCAATATAACTGTGAATTAGATTCAAATAACCAATGACAACTCGCAGACTTTGACACCGATATGTTTTTGTTGTTATAAGAGAGGAAAGCTAGGTCAACGTTATGCTGAAAGAATAAGCACAACTAGAAGGCACAAGTGCAGCGAAACAAACACTGCCACGGTGCTAACCAGCTGTCGTTGAAGAGGGTTGTCTAGTGGACCCTCGATTTGGCGCACGACCTATGGCAGCTAGCTAAGCCTCCAAGGCAGCCGGCTGTGGGCATCAGTAAGCCGAAGTGGAGAGCACCGCCTGAGGGATGGTTCAAATACAACTTTGATGGGGCTTTCTATCCGATCCTTGGTCAGGGGTGGAAGAGCCAAGTGGCACCCCTTCAGCCTGGGGGCTGTTCGGCTGGCTGGCCGGTGGCTGGCTGGCTGGGCAGCCCCCTCACGAATCACTGTTCACGTGAACAGTGATTTCAGCCAGAGTAGTATTTTTCTCTCACAACAATCAGCTGGAACAGTATTTTAGCTTATTTTTCAGTCCTGCCGAACAGGCTCTGGATGCTTTGACGATGGAAGTCACAGCATGTAAAGAGGGCATTATTCTGGCTGGTGACCTAGGCATTCGCAAAGTGCAATTCGAAACGGACAGACAAGAGTTGGTGAAACTTTGGGAGATGGGAGAGCTGCAGCGATCACGTATTTCTCTGATCATCAGGGAAATTTGAGAGCTTAGATCTTCTTTTCATGATTTTTCTCTGATATATATTCATAGATCATGTAATAATGTAGCCCATACTCTAGCTAAGCATGTCTCGGATGGCAACAGAATGGGTGAGTGGCATTGAGCCCCAACATGTATTGCTATTCTGCTGATTGAAGATTGTAATCATGATGCTTCCTGATTGATCAAGGATTTCATTGTCACAAAAAAAAGGCAGAACCACCGTGCGTGTATATATACCAGCGTAGAGGATGTTACGGTAAATGCCTCACACAAACGCTTGGGGATTGGCCTCTCAATTTTATTGTGGGATCAGTAAGAAGTACATGCGCACATCAATAATTGCTCTAGGCGTGTGACTAGCTTCCTGTTGGTTCCTCCCCGGAATAAATAAAAAATGCTTTTTTTTGCCTGTTTTATCATTTTTGGGGGATTTTTAGGAAACGATTCATAGAGGCGGCTATGATTAACAACCGTCTCTATCGACTTCTAGGGATGGCTGGGTAGCCGTCTCTGCAAATCGTTTATTTGTAACAACATAAGCTTAGAGGCAGCTTACGGAGTATCTATATCTACCTCTACAAATGGCCGTAGTAACGAACATAGGACAAATTTGGGCTAGGAAGAATCTCCAAATTGGCAAATGTAAGATATTCATTCCCCCATCAGCTGTGCATTATATTACTATAGCCCGTGCATCACTATCCTACTCCTTTGTGCATCATTATACCTGCTCTTAACACATAGTTAATAATAATAAATTCATAAGTTTTACACACAATAAGCACGGGATAGTGAGATATATGTAATTCCATGTTCTTAATGTTGCGGTCTATTGGTCATCCATACTCCCTAATTAATTTAATGCATAAACACATTACTGATCAAGACTAGTCCTAGTTGGATCCAGCGGCAATAGTGATCAGGTCAAATGGTTGACAAAGCGATAAGCATATAAAAAGGGTTATTCAGTTTTAGCGTGTTGGGCTGATCTACTCTCAGCTTGTTTCAACTGATCCAGAAACAAGCTGCGTGTTCAGCTGATCCAGAAACAAGCTGATTTCAGCTGATTCAATAGTGTTCTGTGAGAGAGAATAAGCTGAAACAAGCTGAGAGTATATTAGCCGAACACGCTAAAACTGTGAACCAAAGACAACTCGCGGACTTTGACACAGACATTTTTGTGTTGTTAAGAGAAGCAAGCTAGGTCAACGTTATGCTTAAAGAATGAGCACAACCAGAAGACATGACCACGGTGTGTGTGTGTATATATATATATATATATATATATATATATATATATATATATATATATATATATATATATATATATATAGAGGATGTTACATGATCACACCAACATTTGGGGATTGGCCTCATGATTTTATTGTTAGGTCAATAAGAGGTAAACACGCCCACATCAATAATTGCTCAGTGTCCTACATTCTTGTTGTGCTAATGAACACAAGATATATATATATATATATATATATATATATATATATATATATATATATATATATATATATATCTCAATCTAGAGGATGTTACATGATCACACCAACATTTGGGGATTGGCCTCATGATTTTATTGTTAGGTCAATAAGAGGTAAACACGCCCACATCAATAATTGCTCAGTGTCCTACATTCTTGTTGTGCTAATGAACACAAGGGCCAGAATTCCAATAGCAGCTGCCATGCATTCATGATACTCATTGGTGATTACATTGTATGCCCGCTACTTAAGATTTTGTTTTGTCTCCATGCTTGTATTTTCTGGAGTTTGCTATGCCCAGTTCTACTTGTACAATTACGTGTTTGTTCTGCTTCTATGACCTCTGTTTACGTATTTATTGGGACTGTGGGTGTTTTCTTCCACTCAAATTCCAAATTTTGTCCTCAACTAACGGAACAATTTTATTATCACTTCTATATTTCAGATGCCTGAATTTAAAGATGATTTTAGGCAGCAATTTGGTACAACCAACTAGTATAGGTTGATTGTTATTTGTCTTTGTATCATAACATATTAAAATTTTGTCATTGCCAAACTATATAAACAAATGTAAATTGTTAATTGTCTTTGTGCCAACACAAATTATATTTTATCGGATTTGTGATTTTGTCTAACGGGCTTCTTATTCTCGAAACCGAAAATTGCAGATTATGGCCCGGTTTGGTTCCAGGCTCCTAAAATTTTAGCTCATAAAAGTTTTAGGCAGCCTTCTAAGAGCTCCTAAAAAACTGTTTGGTTCCAGTGACTAAAACTGACTAAAGGCAATAAATGCTGTTGGAAAGGACCATGCTGCCCTTCTTCCCTCTACCCCTGCTCTCTTCTCCCTCTCTGTGTCTTTCTTCTTCCTCCGGCAAAAGAAGAACCGAACGAGCTCCTCCCACCCGCCGGCCAAATCCACCGCCCCTGCCCCGCCATTTCCAAATCACCGCCGCCCAAAACCGCCTCTGCTGCTTGCCTACCTCCAAGACCTCTCCTTGCCTGCGCCATGGCGGTGGGCCCCCCTGTCTTGGCGGCGGCAAGGTGGATCGGCATCCGGAGTTGGATCCGGCCGTGGCTGAGTCCTCCACCGGCGGCGGATCGAACGGCGGATCTGCGTGCTCCCGGTCGCGCCGCCGCCGCTCACTGGGGTAGCCCGTTGCACGCCGCCGCTAGCAGCCGCCCGCCCGGGAGCTTGACCTCGCGCCTTCACTCCCGCAGGGGACCCGCCGAGGCGCGAGGGAGTGGGGGCGGCGGATCCGGTGGGCGTCGGCGTGGAGGAGGGGAGGGGAGCGGGGGCGGCGGCGTTCGGGACGTGGGTGCGGGGGCGTGGGGAAGCGTGCGGTCGAGAGGGGTACCCCAGGTCTAGGATAGACTTTAGGAGCTTTTAGGAGGGGGTGGAGCTCCTAAAGTTTTTGGCCTCTCCTAAAGTTTTTCGGAGCTTTTAGGAGGGGGTGTTTGGTTCTTTAGGCAAATTTTATTCAGAATTTAGCTCCTAAAGTTTGTAGGAGGGGTAACCAAACAGGGCCTATACTTATGTACTTCCTCCGTCCCAGAATAGAGGTCGTCTTAGCATTCAAAAAATATCAGAAAGGAAGACGTTTTAGCTTCTAGCTCCTATACCAGAGTACAGCTCAAAATGGCAACGGGTACGTACCCGATGGGTACTGGCCACCCGTACCCGCACCCGCCAGATCAAAATCTTACCCGTCGGGTTACCCGTACCCACAGGCGGGTAGAAAATTCATTCCATACCCACACCCGACGGGTAATTCTTACCCGGCGGGTAACCCGCACCCAACAATATACCCAAGTTCACACACCAAAATATAATAGCTTCCAGCAAAACAAATCAACAATAGAGCAGCAAAAAAGAAATATATTCAGGTCAAGCTAGTTGAAATAGATGAGATGCCTCATTGGTTCATTCCAAATATGCTTATATGGGGATTAGGGTTTGAGGGAGTTCTGGAATATATATATACTCATATGCTTATATGGGCCAAATATAGGCTATATGCTTATATGGGCTAAAATTGCAGAGGTTGGATATTATTTATGCGGGTTTTTTTTTACCCGTGGGTATGCGGGTATGGGTAGTATACACCCACACCCGTACCCGCATACCCGATGGGTACAAGAATTCGTCCAATAACGTACTCGCGGGTGCAAAATGTCTTCCATATCCGCCTCCTTATCGGGTAAAACCCGTCGGGTACTCGGGTTTCGGGTACCCGTTGCCATTTTGAAGTACAGCACTGGTCCATCCATCACCTCCTATCATCCACTATACCAACAAAAAATGAAAAGAATCAGATGGTGTGGGAGGCCTCCCAGCCGGAGCGCTGCTCCCAAGCTGCATGCAGGTGCAAGATTCCTGTAGGGGTGCCAGAGTCTTTTTGAGTCCACGTTGGTCTCTGTCACAACTTCTAGAATGTCGTATAAAATATATGCAATAAATATCCCTTGAAAAAGAATATTTTCAGGGGAAAGCGGAGCAGGTATGACCTCTGCTGCACCCTTGTATATAGAGATAGAACAAGCTTCATCAATAATGGGCACTTAATTATTGGTACTGCAGGTTGGCGGCATACTAAGTGTTTCTGGTAGTGGTTGGGGGCCGGCGTTGTGCATCATGAACAGGGGCGAGGAGCAACAACAACTCGATCTGGAGGACATTCTGGTGAGTTTTGGCATGCAATCCCTTAGCTTGTAGCCTTCTGTCGTCACTGAAGGATGTTCTGATGCATGTAAACGCTTATGCGAAACACAGGGCACCATGAGCACTGCTGCTCCCCCTGCAGCCGTCCCCGCAGCCGCCGGTGAAGAAGTGGCTACTGCACCTGCATCATCGGAAGCAACAGCAGCTCCCTCGACGAGGAAGCATAGGAACCCGAGCCTGTACGCCAACGTACCTGCAGCTGAGATAATTGACTCGCTCCCCCTGGAGACGCGGCTCATGGTGCGCCGTCGGCAGTATGGAGGCTTCTGGCAAGCTGAGTTCCTACTCAAGGGCATGGCTGCCGCTGGCACATGCTTCGAGCCAGAAGCATCAGACATCTTCCTCGCCAGCTTACCCAAGTCCGGTACCACCTGGCTCAAGGCCCTTGCCTTCGCGACGCTCAACCGTGCCACACACTCGCCGTCCGACGGCCAACACCCGCTCAACCACCGGAACCCGCACGACTGTGTCGGCTTCCTGGAGTTCATGATCATCCAGCAGCAGCAGCAGCACGACGACGCCGGTGCAAGGGGTTTGTATGAGGCCCTCCCTTCTTCTCCACGGCTGTTTGCAACACACCTTCCCTACTCCCAGCTTCCCCATGCCATCACGGAGGAGGGTTCCCGGTGCCGGATCGTGTACATATGCCGGGATCCCAAGGACGTGCTCATCTCCTACTGGAACTTCTACAAGAAGGTGGCAGCGACAGCAGCCGCCACTGCCGGTGGCGACGGCGACGGCCAGGACTCTGCAGGCGTGACCAAATTCGAGGAGGCTTTTGAGCTCTTCTGTGAGGGACGGTTCCCCGGAGGGCCACACTGGCTGCATGCCCTAGAATACTGGCACGCGAGCCAGAGGAGGCCGGACCAGGTGCTGTTCCTCAGGTACGAAGACATGCTGGGAGATCCGGTGGGTAACCTCAAGAAGCTAGCAGCGTTCATGGGGTGCACCTTCTCTGAGGAGGACGTGGAGGATGGGGTGGTGGATCAGATCGTGGAGCTGTGCAGCTTGGAGAATCTCAAGAGCAAGGACGTCAACAAGAACGGGAGTACACGGCTGGGCATCAAGAGTGAGTCATTCTTCAGGAAGGGGCAGGTCGGCGACTGGGAAAACTACATGACCATGGACATGGCGGCGAGGCTGGATAAGATTGTTGAGGAGGCCACCCGAGGTTCTGGGCTCACCTTTGGGGACTCCTCACTCCTCGGTCGAGGTTAATTAAGAAGCGTTCTCACCATCATCTTAGATCGATGGCACTGTGTCGATCTAGAGATTACTTTCCATCATCGAAAAATAAAGATTGTACAACTTGTGTTTGCATGGAATCATGGATCTAGTTCTGTATCGATCATTAGGTTTGGTGTTTTGCATCCATACGTAACGTATGGTCAGGAGGCACATGGGCTACTCTAGTCTGGTATGATAAGCGTGAACCTTGTGGTGTCTGCGGTTGTTACAAGAAAAGATGGATGGCTTTACTTCTTCTATAAGGAAATTATGTTCTTATTAATTTCAGATATGTTGTGTACGGTTGTTACAAGAAAAGATGGATCGCTTTACTTCTTCTATAAGGAAATTATGTTCTTATTAATTTCATATATGATCCTTGTTATAGAAGTATATATAGATATGGTTCTGAATAGAGACAAAGTTCTAAAGATACAATAGGTTTAGAAATAGTATCTTACTCCAAGTAGATGTAGAGTCCTACTCAATCATGTATGAAGTCCTACTAGGACATGTATCAACTGGACTATATCTATACCTAATCTATACTATAAAGGAGCAAAGGAATTGAAAATCTATTGTCACCGGAAAAACTTCCTAACCACCTTAGATTGACAGGTGGACCCACAATAGAAGGACGACAGGAACATATGAAACATGCGTGTTTTGCATTGTAGAGGACTCCTGCTCGATGTTTTTTTTTCACCGTCCGCGCTTTCTTACCCGCCCGCATGTACCCACACCGGTTTTCTTCTCCCGTCCGATCGTCGCCTCCTGCCGGCCTACGGCCCTACGCGCGTACAAGGAATAACCGCCCTCTCTGGCACGCTTCGTCGCACCCCTCCCTGCCCGTGTACCCCTTCGACTACGCACCAGGAAAGCCCCTGACGCGGACGCTTCGCGAGACGGCGTACTCCCTCGCCGCGGACGCTAGGGCGTGCGGGGCCGGGAACGCCGCCGCAGGAGTGTGGAGGACGCTTGGAACGCAGTGACGGGAAAGCCCTCGACGCGGACGCCGGGTGCACAGAGCCGGGCGTATAGGGCCGAGAACGCCGCCGCGGGTTGAAGAAGAGGCGCCGGTTGTACCAAGAATTTCGTCTCCCAGGCGGGGAGGATCTGCGCCCGTCGATCATGCTGCCAGTGTCCTTGGGCGCGTCCTTCACCTCCGGATAAAGCGGGGGCAACTCCTGGTTCGTCCCCTTCCTCTTGCCTTTTGGCCACAATCTCTCTATTGTATCGTATCTGTGCTAATCTCAAGCGGCTGTGCACCGAGGTTGCTGCGATGCTGTCACAGATGTTCGTTCATCCGATGCCTGGTGACAGGCAGGAGGCCATGAGGTTCTGAGCCACATCTATGAAGACGACGAGCAAACAAAATTCAAATTTGTTGGTGAGATAGGTCTTCGTCGGTTAATTTCTGTTTGCACAAATGAATTGGTCTCATGATTTCGGATATGGATGCTTGGGAAATTCTAATCTAATTTTTTGTAGATGGTTTTACTTTGGATGATCTGAATATGTGTGAATGCCTCTTTCAGAATGTCTCTTCTGCCTCCAGTACGTTTTGTACCTACCGTTCAGAAAATAATACCAGATTTTGGAAGTTCATACATATCTCAGCTTTAGTGATCTATTTTTTTACTGCCATTTATTTACTTATATTGATAAATGTGCCTTACATATTCTGCCTCTATGGGTACTAGCCCTAGTAAAATAAGTGATTGCTTCTGTAAGTATTATTTTTGTTGATTCTTCTAAAGTAATCATGTCCTCATCCACAAGGTAGCATGTAAATTACAGTAAGCTACGAAAAGATAATGGTAGGCTCTCTAGCTACAAGTTAAACTCTTGCTTCAGTTTATATCTATATATATATATATATGACATATCTGAGTTCAGTTTTAGTATTTGATTATACATTTTCCTTTTCTAAATTTCAGTTCGCTTAGCGAGCAGAGTGCTGTCTCTTTGCAGAGACAGGCTGAAAAGGTAGATGACCATCACTACCGGTCTACTGTAGATAAACATCTTATTGTCAAATCCCTTGCTATTCTTGCATTGGAGTATATATGACCAGAATGCAATGAAATCATGGCCATAATGACATAATGATCTGAAAGTGCTTGCACAGATTTTTTTTGCCAATTGGTTAGGCATGACTGAAGTTTTGCCGATGCTGCAGTCTCTGTCATGTTTAGCTAGAACCTCTCTGCAGCATGATTTGGTTGACTTAATTTACATGGCTTATGTATTTAGTAATCATTTAGTCCCCCTTTAAAAATATCATGTGAACATCTTAAAAATGAAGCATCAGGTTTATGGAAAAGAATGTGTGCCTAGAGCTAAAGCTGCATTCTTCACAGGCTGTAACATTAGTACCATATATATCCATAATCTCAATTTTTTTCCATATATATTAGGTTGCTGCCGTTGGGTATATCTAACATTTGCTCAATTGTATAATTAGATATTCGGCTAACAGATTACAATGTTGCAGTAGGATTTTCTTTCCTGAAATCTCCTTGGTAGTATTAACAATTCTATTGATTCAAATCAGTTTTTTGTTGGCCAAAGTGCCTCCTTTTGACTATTTGGTTTTAGATTCTGCACCTCTGGTATTTACAGTGATATAGTTGTTTATCCCTTTGTTGGTTCCACCAGACAAGTGGATTTTCTTGACATTGTCTGATAAATGAACGTGCTTCCTCTGCAGAAGATGTTTTAACCTATATAATCTTGTAACAAGAGTGTAACTTTATCACATTGTGATCACCATGCCTTTGCTTGTTTACTTCAAGAGATCATGGTGGCCGTGTAAAAAGAAGTATTGGAATATGTCTCATGATAACAAAGAGAAAAGACGGGCTAGAATCAAGAGCGTCAATGTAACTACGTGCAAAGTTACAGACTATGGCCGGGTTTCCAAAATGGCATTGACAAATTCGAATGCACCAATATAAAAAATTCATGATATAATTATAAATTCTCTTTGCCTAATAATACTTACATATTCTCTCTTATTCTCGATAGCCATATATCTGAGCAGTATTTATTCTTTTGAGCATACTATAGGTCTACATATTCTCTCTTATTCTCGATAGCCATATATCTGAGCAGTATTTATTCTTTTGAGCATACTATAGGTCACGCGTACCTTGTGTTATCGATCTGGTTTTGCCCAATAATTGTGGGTAACAATCCCCTAAAAAAATTGTGGGTTCAACAATACTTTGGGTAAATTAACAAATATATAATAGTTATGTTTATATTACTCTCGCCTTAAGGTTATGGTCTGGTAAGTATAAGAAATAATTTTAAAACCACAACTTCAAGTGTCTAAAAATCTTAATTTTTTCTCTAATATATATTCAAGATGTAGTCTACCACAATTTTAAACACGTGCGTGTGGCACGTGCATGGCTGCTAGTAATACTAAAGAGGCAAAATTTCTGCCACAAATAATTTTTTGTCCAACTTAATACTAAAATGACTTGGTCTCGGTCATCAGCCTCAGAAACCCGTGTCCGTTTTTTCTCCGTTAACCACTGTTGTATCCGACGTTACCATCCACGTGTCCTTCTCTTGTTTCTTTTCCTTCTTTTTCTGTTTCCTCCGCTGCTTAGGCTGTGTTTAGTTGTAGGAAGTTGTAATTTGGGGCTACTGTAGCACGTTCGTTTTTATTTGGCAAATAGTGTTCAAACATGGATTAATTAGGCTCAAAACGTTCGTCTCGCAATTTCCCACCAAACTGTGCAATTAGTTTTTTTTTCGTCTACATTTAATGCTCCATGCATGGGCTACAAACATTCGATGTGACAGGTACTGTAGCATTTTTTGGGATTTTGGCTTCAAACTAAACACGAGCTCAGTTCTATACATGAGTTCTTTTTTTTAATTCCCCCCCCCCCTACTTTTCCAACACGAAATCGAATGGAATAGATCGAGAAAACGTAGTGTAGAAGGAAACGATGTAGGGGTTCCAATCCAAACGTAGAGTAGAAGAAGGAATAAATACATAAAATCAATGGTAAACAAACATGGATTTAGCATTCCAATAAAAAAGCAACACAGATCATGTCTTGCAAATCTTTTTCAAATCGAGTCTAACACGGACCTATCAGAGCGAGGTAAACAAGGAGAAAATCTAGAATAAATTGAGACGACTACAAATAAAATTGGACGACATAAACCTGTCGTCGCCTTGGTGCTATGACCTGGCATCGCAGTCGCCAGGGCTGGGTCCGTCGCAACATTCGCCCGAGCTGTTAGCCGGCCACATTGCCCGCATGGTTGAGCCGCTACGGCCAAGCTGCCGGCCTATCGCAACGCTCGTCCACCGCGCTATGCACCGCGGACCTCATGGTGGCCATGGTAGGTGGACGCTTGAAACGGCCGGACACATAGCAACAAGGCCATCGTCACCTCAAGCCTATCGCGCCGTAGTCAACACCTTGACGCCAGGACCCACCATTCTTGCACTCTGGGCGGTCGGAGATCCCTTTAACCCACAATGCCGGGACCCGCTCGTGTTGAAAGGGGCTCCACCATGACCCGCTTCGCTGAGCTTGCAGACTAACGCCACGCTAAGGTGCTCCAGCAGGAACTATTCTGGAAGCTCACAGGTTAGCGTTTTTTCAAGGGGCTTGGAAGAGCTCGCACCGAGCTCTCCTTCATTAGCATGCTTGCCTCTCCCAAGCAGCAAGATCGGAGAAAATAGAGACAAGAAGTGGTTTCCCATGTGTGCTTGAGTGCTCATGGACACGTGAAACGCTCTAGAAATTTACGGTAAGTTAACCCTTATAATTCATTTACTAATAGTAACCGTATCGTGAGATAAGATGTCTTTTATTTTGTTCCATGCAGGTGTAGAAAAGACAACGGATTAAATCATAATAATCATTGTCCATTATCTTTTTAAGACTGGTTTTTCTCCCGTTGCAACGCACGGGCATATTTGCTAGTATAATAAACACGGGCAGCAGCCTAAGGGC